GGGGGGGACCCAAGGCACATACTCTCAGTCTCAGGCTAGCAATTGCAAAACCCCTCTGATGAAACTTGCCAAGATAGTTTCACCTTAGGGTTGTCATAAGTTGGAAATGACTTGTAGGCACTACACACACAAGTCACGCTCTCTCAGTCTCAGAGTATGGTAATCCCCCTCTAATGAAGCTTGTCCCATGATAGTTTCACCTTAGGGTTGCTCTTCCACATTCTCTTCCACATTCTCATCAGCCACTGGTCAGAGGGAGCTGTCAATCACCTGGGAAGGAGGACTGGGTGATTGACAGCTCCCTCTGATGAGGATGTGGAAGAGGCAGAATGGAGGCAGCCCAGCAGGCCCCAGAATAACTTTTTTGTGTTCTGGCAAGGCTTCTCTGGCTTTCTGAGCCCTCGGCAGGGAGGCAGGTGATCCCAAGGCACATGTGCCCACAGAGAGGGCTCCTCACTCCGTCTGTGGCATGTGTATCATAGGTTCGCCACCAGGGTTCTAGACACTACATTCCTATTGATGCAGCCTAGTATCATATTGGCTTTTTTAGCTGTTTATCACAGTGCTGACTCATGCTCAGCATGTGGGCTACTAAGACTTCCACATCCCTTTCACATGTTCTGTTGTCAAGCCAGATGTCACTCATCCTATATCTGTGCATTTCATTTTTTTTTCTTCGTAAGTGAAATACCTTAAATTTCTCCCTGTTGAATATTATCTAGATCTCAGTCCACTATAATCCATTTGCTCTGTTTCTGTTCATTTTCAAAATCATAAAAACAGAACAAAAAACACACCCCAAATTTCATTGCCATTGCATTAGTTATGACAGAATAATAAATGCTCCTAACTACAGAAGATGTTTTTCATATGCAAACACTTTATCTTGCTGTTCTTCAAAAATCACTTGGTTAAGGGTGTGTAAGTGAACATAAAAATTGTTTGTCAGCATTCAGTGAATGCTATGATATTAATCTCATTCTAATGTGGTGGTGTAAATTGACCTTAACAAGCTGATCCAGCTGTTAAATACAAATTGGAATATAAACGCTTACTCAGAAACTATAAGACTTTTTATTATTTTGACTAATGACTACTAATGTGAAGCATTTGTCTTCTTCACCTTCATGTTATATATCATGTTATATATCAACAACTTATGACATTGTATTCCAAACACCTCTTTGACATTCATAGAATAGATTAAAGTACAAGCTCATACAACCAACTTGTGTGAGCAGTTCTATCTTTTCCAAGTTGTGCAAAGAGGTATCTAATCTCTGTGCAAGTGGTTCTTCAAATTAGGCACAACCTCCTCCTCAACAAATTGAAACAGTCACTGATGAGAGGATGATCTGGGAACTTACTCTTTCTTAAGTCACAAGGCTTGGTGGGAAGCACTCTTGGCTTTCCAAAATGGCCTTTGTTCGATCACAAATATTGTTTCTGGTCTCATTATTTCATGGTTGGTCAACAATGAAACAGACATTGATGAGTCTGAAGGGTTACACTAAAAACTTCTATACAGCTTGGATATGGCTGCTCTTCTGATTATGTCCGCATAGTTTCAACAGAGCCAGAGAAACAGCATGGGACCTTTTGTTCCATCAGTATACTAGATTTCAGCTTTTTCATAGAAAGAAACATGGGATTTTACAACATCCATATTCACATATTCAGGTAATAATGGATTTGCATGCAAATTGTCACTGCTAATTTTTAGATCCATTTCCAGTAGTCATCTATTTATTGTTATTTTGTGCCTTCAAGTCATTTTTGAATTATGGCAACCCTAAGGCAAAGCAGATTGCCCAGCAGAGGAGTGGGATATAAATAAAACTTATTATTATTAAAGCTATCATGAAGTTTTCTTGTCATGATTGCTCAGAAGGGGGTTTGTCTTTGCCTTCTTCTGAAGCTGAGAGAGTGTGACTTATCCAAGGTTACCCACTGGGTTTCCATGACCATCATGGGATTTGAACCCTGGTCTCCAGAATCACAGTCCTATGCTCAAACCACTACACCATACTGGTGCTTGTCATCTATTTAAATATGCCTAAATAATTGAGGCTATAATTATATGTATGCTTAGTTGGAAGAAAAGCTATAGTAACTGAAATTGGCCTGACTTCTCTGTGAACATGATATAGTCATTTGAGTGTTGGGCTAAGACACTGGGAGACCAGGTTTCAAGCCCCCACTCAGTCATGAAACCCACTGGGTGATCTTTGGAAAGTCACACTCTCTCAGCCTCAGAAGCAACTCCCTCTGAACAAATTCTGCCAAGAAACCCCATTACAGGATTGCCTTAGGTTCACCGTAAGTCATATATGACTTGCACACAACAACAACAGTATAATTCATCAAGTGTTTAAAATGTATTGAGCACTGTACCCAATTTTAAAACATGGCAGACCCTATTTTCATGCTAAGAGTGTAAAAGATACAACTCAAAAGGAAAAAGGAATGTTATTGAAAGCTTATTTCTTGAAAGCAGAAACAAGAAACTTAATTTCCACACACATTGTCCCATTTTTGCAGACTCTTCTACTGGACACTTGAGATTACAGCATAAATCAATAAATAAATATTACATTAAGTAATCATGTTACATGTGAAGATGCTTGGTGCAGCCTTATCCCTATTCACAGGTTCAAGTAAGTGGTTTTAAATAATTTATGGTTATAACCTTTCTTAGAATGATCAGCTACAATGAAAATGGCACTTAGGAGGGGAGGAGCCAAATGGCATGTTATAACAAACAGAGATCAATGTCAGAGTAAAATGCACTCTGAAGAGAAAATGCCATAGATGTGACTGGGGCAAAGAAACTGGGACAAAGGTGAGAGGGAGCCATGATGACTCAACATTTGAACAGTCCTGAGTCACAGGGGGATGATGCAACACTAGGCAGAGCGTTGAGTCAGAAACCTTCAATTCTGTATAGTCATGTCAGTCAGGTGATCAGAAACTGGGTAACATCCCAGGAGTGGGCTGAACAAATATCCCAGAAGGGGATACTGATTATAAGTGAGTGAGTTGGATACTCATGTGTGGGTGATTGTATGTAGGGATACTGGCGGAGCACTTTGTTCATCTGTACATAGTCTATAACAGAAGAATAAAGAACCTCTTTGTGAGACAAGAGAAGGTCCAATAGTTTTGTGCCTTGTTGACAGCTACTTGTGTGGGAGATTTTTTTCTTGCAGCATTTTCAACCTGCATAGAACTTCATAGTGAAGACTGATCTTTGACATCTGTTCCAGTGTACGTTTCCTGCACATGTTGAATTCAGTTCACATGCTTCAATCAAAACTTCAATAGGCAGCTACATATGGGTGAAAATATGCCTTCAACTACTATGTGCCCAGATTGTGTAAGTGATGGTGAACCTATGGCATTCATACCAGAGGTGGCACTCAGAGCCCTCTCTATGGGCATGCGCACCATTGCACCAGCACAGAGTTCGCCAGAGTTCATTACTAGAAAGCTAGAGGGGTGCAGCACTTTGTGATAAATAAGTGGGGTTTGGGTTGTACTTTGAGCACTCAAGGCCTAAGCAGACTGCCAGAAATAGTGCACATTAAATTTAGGCACTGCCCTGGCTCAGTGCTAGGGAATCATGAGAATTGTATTTTTTTCTAAGACATTGAGCCTTCTCTGTCAGAGAGCTCTGGTGCCACAATAAACTACAGTTCCCATGATTCTCTAGCACTGAGCCAGGGCAGTGCCTCAATTTAATGTGCACTATTTCTGGCAGTCTGCTTAGGCCCTCAGTCTCTAAAAGGTTCACCATCACAGGAATAGAGTTTTAAAGGTTTAAAACCAGTATTAATTTCTCATTAGTTCATCCCAAATGAACTGGGATTAAACAGCAGATTAAATAGCAATGGAGTGACTAGATTCACTGTAATAGACATCCAAAAGCATTCTGGCTGCAGCATTCTGCACAAACTATCATTTTCAAATGCTTTGTAAATGCTGCCGCCACATAAATTGCCTTTCAGTTCTCCAAACTGGATGTGATCAAGGCATGCATTTCAGTGGTCAGATGAGGCTTCTCCATGATAAAGATCCAAGGAAAGTAAGAATCATCCTAGCATGGTTATAGATAAATGAGATGATGGGTAGACAGACTTTACCCCCTCTTTTAATCAGATATTTGGTTTTGCTGGTAAAATAAAAATCAGATGTTTTGCCTGCAAAGCCAAATCTCTGAAGAAAAGCATATACTTGGCATTTAGATGTGTATCACAGTGAAGTAAAAATAATCCTGTCATGATAGTTAATAGATAGATAAAATAAGAGATAGACAAAGGGTGATTATTGACTTCACTGTGATGTAATTTAGCAAGATAGCATGTAAAGTATAGTTATGAGAGCTTCTCTGTACAGATATCTTTCCATGCTAGTGAATGAAAATTGAAATTTCTGTCCAGAGTCATCATTACATCCTTTTTGTGGTAAATCCAATGCTTTGAATCCATTAACCTTTCAATGTGTGGTGTGACCATCTAGTGCTAAAGATTAGCTACTGACACATTTATCAAAGGATGATAAATGAGCTGTCCTTTTAGATGTCTGATTATTTGACCTTTATTCAGTTAAAAGCAAAAGGAACTGATGATGTTAAGTGGATGCCAGTTTAGAGTGAAATTGAAACCCAGGAAATGAATGCTTGGGCTTGTCTTCAAGAGTGCAAAGTTAGCCCATCAATTTAAGTTTAAATTAAACAAAACAAAATCAGATGTAAACTGTTATTCCATTAATGTGGTTGTTATGGAGTGAGGGAAAAGTGCCATGTTCTTTTAGAAGGCATTTCAGTTCCTCAAAGACCCAATATTAACATTGTTCAATATCAGTTGGAAAGTCTTGTGTTCTTAAAAGTTTGGAAAGAATGATTTCTTTTCATTATGCATCTAACAGAAGATCCTTCATTGCAAAAACATATGACATGGTAGTACATTTAGTAGCTCCTCACGAGAATGGAAAATGTTGGCTGGTTTCATACTAGACAGAATTAAATTTTAACTTGAACTGAAAGTTCTTTCAGTTCAGAACTGAAACATGAACTGATCAATCTTGCTTTAAATTGTGAATTGGTTTATACTTAACTGATCTTCTCTATTCCCTTCAACAATATTTGCAGCTAATCTGATAATAAACAGGATTTTTCAAATTCTCCTTAAAAGACAATGAAATAATAATGATAATATTCATCCTACCAAAATTATTTTAAAATGTAGTGCTTGTTATTGTTAAGTGATAATAATGCCAAAATGTAGTCCATTTTTTATTTTGATTATAACTATTTTTACTTATAGATATGTAAAATTCACATAAAGTAGGTGTTCTAAGACATTGCCACCAAAGAGGGAAGCAATATTGTCTTCCCATAGAATGCCCAGAGGAAAGAAAGTAGGGAATTGAACTGAGATCCATGTAAATTGCTTTAGTTGTAGCAGAAGCAGTAGTTTTCATTAAAACATATCTCTTCCATCCCTAGCTGAGTATTCTTTCTAAATGAACTGCAGCCCATGCAGTTATTATATCAAGCTTAATTTAAAATTCAGTTATGAAGTGGATATGCAGTATCATTGTTAACTCAAGTGGCCAGTTAAAGCAGACTATCCCTGTGTTGATACTGGCTTTTTAAGGAGGGGGAAACATAATCAAATAGGAGAGACAATAAATTAAAACCAGTAACTCTCATATCTAGAAGAAATCCTTAGATGCAGCATCATTCATTGAATTGCTGGCAGCAATTTATATTGGTGATCTACAGAAAGTAACGAATTATGGATGGTAACAATATTTGAAAACTTGTGTGTGGAGTGGCTTAAAAACAGCTTCTTGTGTGTTGGGATGCCTGAATGAGATAAATCTTGGCCCAAGTCCCAGCACTGACAAAATGGCTCCTTTTTTCTCTCTGCCCCACAAGTGTTTGAATAGTCCAGTAGGACTTTTCAGCTTGACTGCATGTACATGTAGTGGCCAGGAAAGGTAGGTGTGGCTAAGGATAATACATCTGTTTTCTGGTAGCTGGTGAGCAATGATGAAGTCATCTCCTGGGATCTTCAGAGGACCCCCAAGAGGCCTGCATAGTTCTTAACTGTCTATCAGAACATAGCTGAATAATCTTTAGTTTTTTGTGGGTTTTTTTGGGCTGTGTGGCCGTGTTCTAGAAGAGTTACTTTCTGACATTTTGCCAGAATCTGTGGCTGGCATCTGAAGATGCCAGCCACAGATGCTGGTGAAATATCAGAAAGAAACTCTTCTAGAACATGGCCACACAGCCTGAAAAAAACACAAAAAACTATGAATGTCGGCCATGAAAGCCTTCAACTTCACATTGAATAATCTTTGTCTGCCCTGGTTTTCCTTTTAGCTACTACATATCCCAATTTTGGGACAACATCCTTAAAAATGATCCACAGAAATGAAAGTCGATGTTGCATCAGGAAAGTCATAAGCTGTTACCCTGCCTGGACAATGGTGGACACAGATCTTGGAACTTGTTATTAATTAAAAATAAGCTTGCCATTATTAATTATCCCAAAATTAGAGGCTTACTATTTTAAACTGTAAGTAAGGAACACTTGTCTCATGTGGTAGAATCTATAACTAATGGATTCCTCCCCCATTCTAAAATTTTACAGGTAGAGTATCATCCATACAACCGCAATCAAATCCGAGCTATTGTGTCATTTACTAATGAAGATTCCACAAAGAAACTGTATTCCCTTAGAGGTGATATTTTGCAAAAAGGCATGTCAATGTCTCATTTTTTAAAAAAATATGTGCCTCCTGCACCATTAGTTATTCAGAAATTAGTAGATAAATCTGAGAAGGAACCTTATTATAATACAGTGACCAACTTCATTGAATTATCAGTTCCCACAATGGAAATAGCTCAATCCCCCTCTACCAAAGACCCCCAAAAGGTTTCCCATGTGGAAGTATTACCAACAAACACCTTCAATTAAATGGTCATAGAGGAAGAAGAGACACTTCTGAAAACTTTCCAGTCCCT